TATATATATAAAAGCAGAAGTGGAAGTTAAAGAGTGATGACGGTACAATACTGAACAAAAGGTTTGGATTGGAAAAATGAATGGGTTTTAGTGAAGGCCTAGCATTCTGCTACATTTTATGCCAGAGTAGTTTAGGTCAAATCCTGAAAACAAAATTGTATGCAGCCTAATGCAATATATCAGAGTATGTGATTTAGGACAAAATTTCTCTTAACTGAATTATAGCTGCTTTACTGGCTTTTAAGGTGTGATAGCTCTAGCAGCCATCTTAAAGTGCCTGTGACATCAAATTTTTGTAATACATATGAATGCATTTTTGAAAAGATGTCATTGACAAAATATTATAAAAGAAATTTCATGTCGCTGAGATGAACAGTTGTTGAGATATTTGCCTGTAAAGTAACAGGAAGTGATGTCAAAGGGGAATGTCTGCATGTGAACAGAGCGTTGCTACAACAGCTAACAACACAGACTGTAGAGAACAATTTGATGTTTCTTATGATTATTTTGAGTGACTATCAGAGAGAGATGAGGAAGAGTCAGAGTTCAAATAATTTTCTTTCAATAAACAAAGACCAGAGAGTTTTCTTTGTTAAAGAGCTCCCCTTTGATGTCACTTCCTGTTTCACTTTGGCTGAGTCAAGTTCAAAAGAAAATATGCCAGTTATGGGACAAAATGGGTAAAATAGTGAGTGTTGTTCCAACTTTCTTAAATGTAAAGATGTTTTCTTTGATTTTTTTTGTATTTGGAGAATATGCATGTCACAGGCACTTTAAATAGGATTGACTCAAGAGATTAAATAGGATTGACTCAAGACGTTAATCAGTTGTAGATGTGAATCCAATGAGTAATTTCTCAAATTTTCATCCAAATCCATCTTGTGATTCATGAGTTATTTTGCTAACAGACAAACAGTGGTGACATTAAATGGCATCGCTGACATTTTAAACAAAGATCTTGACAATGTGAAGCACTTGGGAGCATGAGTTGTGAAATAATTTCAGCAGCTACCAACACACAAAACTTTAGCCTAATATTTAGAAAACTGATTGAATTACAGCCACTATTGTGTGTTCTAAGGCCAGTGGGCTGTGGCGGCCATCTTTAATTGTAAAGGCCTCTAAAAGTCAATCGAATATAGAAGTACGTTGAATGATTATTTCCTGAAAGATTTAACAAAATGCATTCAGTGGTTTATGAGGTATTTTGCTAACAGACACACAAGAATTAAATGCAAATACTAAACAGCAATTTTTTTTACTAAGATCTTCTGAAATTTGTTAGCTTTAAGAATAATTATTAGGGATTGGATTCAGCTACTGCCAAGACAAATTTTAGCACAGTGTGTCTGTAAAACTAACAGTTATTAATATTTATCTGTTTTTAAAGGTATTTTAAGGACCTTTTTTGAATAGAGCTAAGGAGGCCTGTTCTGCCCCCACCTCAAGATGTGCACCTTCTTGGTGCAACAGGTGAAACTGAAGCAAACACACAGAGGATGGCATCCAAAATGCAAAAACAGACTCACAGGAGTAGTAGCCCACATCAGCGTTATCAGAAAGTTTGGCAATGTCATAGCTCTCCAGCATGTTGGGGTCCCACTTCTTGCGGTACTCGCCGTCGTGGAGAACGTCATACATGGTGGCAGCTGGCACATCTTTGATCATCATCTTACACTGAAACACAGAGGAGATCTGTTAACCTGCACTGTTCCCAAACTCACTTAGTCCCTTAAAATGGCTCCCTCCTGCTTGTGGGTACATCTGCAACGTCAGAGTGACCACAGTTAGCTTCATGATTATTAATAACAACAATAATAAGTCAGTAAAAGGAACCTACCTTTATCTTGTGAACTTTAGGATAATTGTTTCCCACCCTGTTGGAAGGATTCGGCTGCTCTATCCACACCTGCATGTCGTTCTTGTCATATTTGTTCAGCCAGTTCTCGGTTGACAAGCACTGCTTCTTGAAGTCGGCGAAGACCTGGTCGTCAGGTAAAATACTCGACTTTCCCGACATTGTTGTAGCGCAGTTTTGTTTTACTCCGGCAGATGTAGAAAAAAATATAAATCAATATATAAATAAATACTCCTCAGCACCGGTGAGAGAGTTAACGCCTCGGAAGCGTCGCTTCGCCGTCGGCTCAAACTAATATACGCGCGCCGAAACCCGGACAGGTCGAACAGGATTTTTCGGCTCGGATTCCTGAGGCATTCCTGAGCCCTGCTGACGTCACAGCACTTCCTGAATCCAGGTGTGCGCGGCGCGCTGGAACAAAACAGCAAGCCCCGCCCAAACGGAAACGACTAGAAAAGTCTTACTTGGTTTTGGTCACAAATCAACAGAGCTGTCAGAAGTATTCACATTCATTACTTAAGTAGAAGTATAGATACTGGGGTTTAAAAATACTTTTTTGGAAATAGAAGTATCAAGTCAAGCTTTATAAAAGTATAAAAGTACTGGTTTTGAAACGACTTAAAGTATGAAAGTAAAAGTAACACTTTGAAAAGCCATTCAGAATAAAAGCTTTTTTATTTGAAAATAGATTTTTTTTTATATTTAACAGCCAATTTGAAGACATTCAATTTTGAAAATATTTAAACAATTTGAATTAATTAATGAATAACAACACACTTTAATTATTTAATGTATAAAACCCTCACATTGTACAAAATAGAAAAAAATCTAAATAAATAAATATCGTTTTATTCTAGATCTTTTGAAGAAAAAACATGTTGGATTGATCTCAAAAAGACTTTATCCTGAAACTAAATCAGTTTGTTGCTGAAAATTTCAGAAAACACAACTTTATCCAGGATCGTCTTCATTCTAGGCTCCACCTGCTACAGTCTGTCCTGCTGGAAAGTGATGTGATTTGTGTCATACAGGTGTGATGAAGTGAGTTCAGTCCAATAGGATGTCAGAATAGTATTTATTTGCATTTCTCATCCAACCACAATCAAACTCACTCTATCCATGGGCTCCATGTACCTGGATAGATCTCTATTTTTATTTATTTATTTCTGAACAATGAAAAGATGGGATAAAAACAAGTCAAAGTGAAATAGAAATGACATACTTTTTGCATTTTTAAAAAGTAAGGAGTAGAAAGTACAGATAATTGAATTGAAATGTAAGAAGTAGAAGTAAAAAGTAGTCCGAAAAATAATTACTCCACTAAAGTACTGTATAAATAACCAAAATTTCTACTTAAGTAAAGTAACAAAGTAGCTGTACTCAGTTACCTTTACAAATCAAATAAGACATAACCCTACAAGCAGAAACTGGCACCAGAGGTGTTGAGAATGAGAACGACTCAGTTATTATCACCTGACATAATTAGCTCGGAGTCTGTAAAACTGCCCGAGTGAAAATCATTTTTATTTTCTGTGGTCAGATGGTTGGTTGCTGCAGCCAGCTTGAAGTGGCTTGAAAGTTTATTTAAAATCTATTCATTGGTTCATGAGATATTTTGCTAACAGACAAACAGGATTAACTCCAACAGTTCATGTTGGGTTTAACCAACTAGCAATACAAAAAGAAAAAAAAATTGTATAGGTCTTCTGGACGGGTTCTTCTCTAATGAAACGTTTCGTCTCTCCTCCAAGAGACTTCTTCGGTCTGAGAGTTTCAGGCAAAATTCAGGCTTTTAAGCCCTGCCTCCATGTGACTGATACTCACATCACATGGCTATCGTTGACACCTAATTAACATCTATTGTTAACAGGGGGTGGAGTGATACTGGCAATAGCAGCACTGTAGGAGGGGGACAACTGAAAACGGAGGCCTCCACCTCTGTTTAATGACGGACGGTCTTTCTTCACAAAAATGTCTTCTTTTACTCCTCTCTCAAACCAACGTTCCTCCCTATCAAGAATGAGAACATCCTCATCTCTGAAAGAGTGACCGCTGGCCTGTAAATGAGTGAAAACTGCAGAGTTCTGGCCATTGGAATTAGCTCGTCTGTGTTGGGACATTCTTTTGAACAGTGGTTGCTTTGTTTTCCCGATGTATAACTGGTTGCAGTCCTCCTGGCACTTAACAGCATATACAACATTGCTCTGTTTGTGCCGGGGCACCGGATCTTTGGGGTGAACCAGCCTTTGCCGTAATGTGTTTTGGGGTTTGAAAGCTACTGGGACATCATGTTTAGAAAATAAATGTCTCAGTTTCTCCGAAACACCCGCAACATACGGAATAACCACTGGTTTGGGTCTGGGTTTGGGGTCTTCATTTTCACCTGAAGGTTGCATGGAGTCCTGTCTGTGTTTCCTGTCTGCTTTCAGGAAAGCCCAGTCAGGATAACCACACTGCTCCAGGACCTGTCGTGTGTGTGATTTCTCTTTCTGCCTGGCTTCTGGGTTTGTAGGGACACTGTCTGCTCTGTGGTACAGAGTCCTGATCATCACTCCTAACTTGTGTTCCAGTGGGTGGTGGGAGTCAAAACGCAAAAACGTCAAAAAGACCGTCCATCATTAAACAGAGATGGAGGCCTCCGTTTTCAGCTGTCCCCCTCCTACAGCGCGGCTATTGCCAGTATCACTCCACCCCCTGTTAACAATAAGTGTTAATTAGGTGTCAACGATAGCCATGTGATGTGAGTATCAATCACATGGAGGCAGGGCTTAAAAGCCTGAATTTTGCCTGAAACTCAGACTGAAGAAGTCTCTTGGAGAAGAGACGAAACGTTTCATTAGAGAAGAACCCGTCCAGAAGACCTATACAATTTTTTTTCTTTTTGATTTTTTACCTGGATTACTGAGATGCATCAGGACAACTAGCAATATATTTAATAGCTAATGCTACTGGATCGGCTAATTATATAAAGCTAATTTTAAAGTAGGCCTATAAGGTCTCACACTAAACACTTCAAACATGACTAAAACTTAATTCCCAACACATAAACAAATGTGCTTAGGGATAACTCTCAGCTGCCACACAAAACATTAGATCAATATCTGTAAACTTGACTGAGTTATTGTCACTTTTGTGTTTGCGAACTGCCAGTTGTGGCAGCCATGTTGGATCATTTTGAAGCCATCTTGAACTGAACTGAAAGTTTTGCTAAAATTCGTCAGGTTCATTCAATATTTTTCTAACAGACACCCCAAATGTAGAAATTAAAATCTTACTTATAAACATGCATACAAAGTTCTCAACAACCAAGTTCCAGCTTATACTAAAGGTCTTATTGTTCCATATTTTTTAATGGAGCACTTCACTAACAGACTGGAGGTTTACTTGTGGTTTCTATAGTTCATAAACATAGGTTTCAGTTCTCGGGCTCCTCTCTTGCAGAACCAACTTCCAGTTTCAGTCAGTAAGGCTGATATTCTGTCTAAGATTTTGATTTAATTAATTAAATTTTATTAAATTTTAATTTAATTTAATAATTTTTTAAGACTTTCCTTTTGATATGTTTGGCTTCCTGAGTTATTCCTTARTTCTGCTGCTATAGGCTTAGACTGCTTGAGGATAAACTGACCACATTTACTCACTCTTCTCTACATATTTGCCGTCGTAAATATTTCTCTTAATAACATGTTTTTCTTTGTCTTTCAGTGGAAAATACACCTGGACCTTGTGTTTCTTTGTGTTTATTTCCTGTCCACCCAAACCCAGCAGGTCAAGGCAAGGGGCTCATCCCGAGCCTGCGACTTCTGGAGGTTATGTCTTCGGATGTCTCAGCTACCAAACACTAAAAGATTGCACACATTCCTCCATCTTTTTTTTTTTTTTGCCAGAGTATGATGGGAAATTATGGTGTAGCTGTTTTGGTCAAACCTAGAAAACATTAAAATGTGCAATCATTGAATATGACACAAATACAACCAACCTTTTTCAATTTTAAATAGCTGAAATTGCCATTTTGACCAGCCTTCACAGCATCATAGAGTCGACAATAGTTTATCAGTCTCCACATTGTTAGAACCACACATTATGGAAACTCACAGAAGAAAAGCAAGAGATTTTTTTACAACAGACCAAACAAAATTGTATCTGAAAACCTAATTATACATGCGAATTAACAGTAATTTAATATCAATAAGGTGAGGTTACTGTAACTTCATTTAGCTCTTACATAAAAAAAAAGACTTGTGATTAAAAATGATTGTTGGGGCAGTTCCTCTTCTGTCGGCTCAGGATGGGCAAGAAGCGAGAAAGCCTTGTTCCTGTTCCACTTACAAACTGCCCCCCAGAAATCTAAATTCTTACATTCCGTAAACGCGACAGGTCAACCAGGACACCGGCCTTATCTTCAACCCTTCAGGCTTCTGATTCTTTGCTTCAAGAGGTTTTTGATAACTTTTAAAAGTCTCATTCACAACAACAACAAAAACAGCCTCAGTACTTAAAAGAATGTGCTTGGGGACTTTTAAACAGTTTACAGAATGATAGAATCTAAAACTAAAATGGTTTTGTCTGTTGCAAATTTATAAACAGACATTCACACCTTTATTTCTCTAGGCTATGATGCAAAGTCAAATATATTTGTGATATATACATCATTTTCATAACAACTGAAGGGAACAGTTATTGGATTATTGGGTAGAATTGAAATGTGCCTGAAAAAAAATAATTAAAAAAAAAAACCCACTTTAAACATCTCCAGAACTAGGGGCTAAATTTGTCATCTCTGTTAAAGAGAAACTACAGAATCATAAATAACTGGTTCAAACTTAAGAGATATTCTGCTTTAAAGGTGTCGACCCAATATTAAAATCATGACCGCTGCTTCAAGGTTGATTTCACTTGTTGGAAAATAAATTTTAAAAAGTCTTTTGAGCTGCTGTTCTCTGATTATGTCACAGGCCAGACTGAGACGATCCAATGATTATTTCTGACCCCGGAGCCATCTGCCTATTAGTGACCTTAAATATAGATTTATTCTGAACCAAAATGAATACACCGGAATAAACAGATTTATTTTGTCATCTGCTCTGACTTTACATTCCAATCAGATGTAATCATGACACTGTGGGCATGAAGCCTGAGCAAATCTCAGCCACCCAGTATCTGGAGCCTCCCTCTGCCTTCTATCAGTCCTCCATTTGTTTAATATAATTATTGCCTTTTCTTGACTTACAGACAGCCTTTTCACAACTAAACTTCAAATTTTGTTCTCACACTTCCAGATGTACCCCCACTGTTTCCTGTAAGAATGATTAAAATCTGGATGCTTCTAAATTTCTAATCCCACACCCAAAACGTTTATCCATCATTCCAAGCTTTTATAATCCAGTCCAGCCCCGACCCACTGTTGTAACACTTCCTGCCATTGATAAAGTGAGTAGTTTCGCTCTGCTTTGCTGACATTTGTCACACACCTACATGAGACAGGTTTTTCCACAGCCTGTGTGATTGAACCGTACTTAACTTGTCCCACTGCGCCAATCACCGGAGCGCTTTATAAAGAAAGACGTGACAGGTGTTTGCATTTCAGTGAAATAGCTTTATTTTATTCCACGTGATAGAGCCTACACTTGTGTTTCATTAACTCTCCTTTTTATACACAAGATAGTAATAGTACATTATTCACACAAACGTTGCTAAACACGAGTAGACATCATATTTCAAATAGACAAACACAATTCAGAGTAGCACAAAGCTGTGTATTTAGTTAGTGACAATAGAAGAGCTGCTTATGAGAAAATGTTCTTATTAAACACTTAAAACTTTCAAATTCATCCTTTTAAACGCTGACATTTCAAAACAAGCAATGGTAAATGAGCGTTGTCTTTTGTTGTGCTCTGAATATTAGTTTGATTACGTTAAACTGTGTGTGTGTGTGTGTTGTGTGTGGAGACAGGGCAGCTTTTACCCATGAGTATAAACCAAACTACAGGAGAAAACATCACCACGGCGTAAATTGTCGCCCTTTATGCGGAGCCCAGGCGAAGACGCAAACAATAAATTAAATAAAATAAAACTTTCAACATGCTCGTCAGCGTCTGGAGTTTTGGTCAAGCGTACAACGTCATCTGTTAAGTTTATAAAATAAATAAATGCATAAAACCAACTGTCTGAAACAGGCAAAAAGCAACACAGTAAAGGATACTGCAACTAACGTCTCTGCACTTGTTTTTTTTTCTTTTTTTATTAAATAGCAAGGGTGTTAGTAAGCGCCAGCTGCATCTGAGGACATCTATCAGCAGCTCTACAAAACAACTAGTGAAGCCATGAACCAGTCAGCAGGCTCCTTTGATATTTTTACAACATTGTGGCTTGATTCAGTGCACGACGTGGTGAACAAACAAGCAAGGCATCTGTGTTCTTATCCATAGAAGTCCTGCATGGTGAGCATGCTGCTTGGTAATAGTGTAATCAACACAACGCCAACCGTCGGCGGCTACGTCACACGGCAGCCAGCGTGACGGCTCTCCATCGAAGTGAAAAAAATAATAAAAATAAAAAGAAATGGGCCTTTTCGTACCCAAACACTCCTAAGATGTGTTAGTATGTGTGCAGCAAAGTCAACATCTACAGCAGGTACAATTTATAATGCAAAGTTTAAGGTTAGTAACCGTTTTAGTTAATTCAGACTGACTTCCCTTCGCTTTGTATTCCCTTATTTGTTTTTGCAGCCGTTTTTGAAATGTTGACTGTTTGTTTTGTCACAACTCGTGTGTTTGGCAGCTTAACTCTAAAGACGTTTAAGTGACAGAGAGAGAGAATGGTTCCACTTATCCTCTTGAATTTCAAAAAGAAAACTCGACTCAAATGAGGGGATTGGGTTTCTCAAACAGGTACAGACTGACTGGCAAGACTTGGTCTCTACTTTCCTAAAGTGAGAGAGGAAATGTGAGAAATGAGCTTTCAGAGAGATCAAACATTTTCTGAAATAAAAAACACACACATCAGAGAAATTGAACCTCGTGCTCGTTTACATAACCCCAAGCAATTTAACTGTACAACAAGAGTAACAGCACTAAGAATCTGTACTGTGCAATAACTCGAGCGCTTAGCTATGTCGGTCTGCAGTCCTATATAATGCCATGCAACTGGATGAAAACAGATCGATTTAACTTATTCTCTGACTTAAATGTTTGCTTCGGAACTAATTTCCCCCCCAATGATAATCAGATTCAATACAGTAATGCACATCCACACGGTTACTTTGAAAAGTCACTGAGTTGGAAAGGAGGAAGAAAAAAATAAAGGAAAAAGACAAGTTCTCCATCACAGCAGCAGGATGCCATGGATGGAGAGAGTGGCCACTGAGAGACAAGCTGTTGGTGTTGGTTGGGGGGGCAGGCTGGGTGGGGTGAAGTGTACTAGCAGGAGCAGCTGCTCTCGGTTACAGTCATCTCTGGCTGCTTCTCCAATTTGATGTCGATCACTGAGGCAAGCTGAGTTAAGCAATATATTCAATGAGTTGCAAGATTCACTTCCATATTCTCTTTGGTTTCGTCAAATTATGTTATAGTGTTTCGTAGCTGAACTTAATTCCACGTCAGCGAACTAAACGGGCTTCAAGTCAGGGGACCTTTTAGGTATGCAACACTCCTCTCAACTGCTGTAGTAATTATCTACATTTTTATATGCTTTGTACAAAATTAATTGTTTGGTTGTTCCCACTCTTTAACACGAACCCTGAGCAGTTGTAACAGTAGACGTTATTTAATAACACATTTATGCATGGGGAAAAAATTATATGCAGAAAACGTTCACTCTCAGCTTCTGTAGTAGACAGATTTGTTGGTATCCTTAAACACCATTAATTCTTGCTTTATAGTCATGTTTCAAACTGTGTTTGATCCTAATTAGTATCCCAGGTGCCTTCAAGCCTTTCATCAGCTATTCAGCCCATTTAAAAGGAAACAAAGCCACTGAGTAGTTTAGGATGGTTGTGTGTCACACTGAACATGGTAGAGAAAGCAAAGGCCTGAGGAGCTCAGAAAAGACTACAGATAACCATGTCCAAAGGTACTACAAGAGCATCAGACTTCAGCTCACAATAATAATAACCTAAAACATATAACATTCAAAGCCAACCATTTATTATTATTATTATTATTATTGGATACCAAAAACTGATCCAACCCTTTATAAAAGTATATCAAGAAGTAGTAATTCAAAAACTAACACCAAAATGACTTTTTTGAGCTACACCTAGATCAGCAAATGTGAAGATTTTACCCATAAATCAACAACATGCAGGTTATTTCATCCTTTCAGTGTGGAGAAAGAAAAAGTACTTGGGTGAGTTCCCCCAGTGGCTGCTAAACCATTACAGAGTCCCCAGTTTTGTTTGGTCCAAAACTCTACATAATCTACTTATTGCAAGTTTTTCCTACAGAAAAACGTAGCGGGTGTGCACCGAAACCGAGTTAATTCAGAAATATTTCAGCTGAAAGCAACTTGAAAAGGATACTGTCCTCTTTGTTTTTCTCTGGTGTGCTGTCCATCCCAGGCAATGCAGCTGCAACACGTCGGAACAGCTGCGAAACAAAATAACAGCATTAAACACATCTTCAATTTGTCCTTTCTTATAATGTTTACTGTATATATAAAACTAAATGCTGTCAACAGCTGAACTTTATGCTCTTACTTCTTCCACTACATTACATTTCTTAAACATATACAATTAAAACTCAACCAGATTAGCAATTTGGGCAATTAAAAAAAGGTGTTTTAAAAACATTTCTTCGCATCGAATCACTACAGAGATGTAACCTACCTTATTGATTTTTAACAACTCATTTACTAGCTAAAATTTGTTATGTTAACACAACAGTGGGTAAAACAAGTTACAAACATTACAACAGTAAGAAGTAAGACTTTTTCATGATCAGTAACGGTTTTAAGTTTGGTCTAGATGTAATTACATCAATATAGTAAAAATCTATACTTTCTTTTTAATAAAGTTCAACAAGGTTTCAACTATGACTGAACAAGATTAAAATTGGTATAAAAAGTTGAAAATAAGATCCAACATTATGGTAGTAATGTGTAGGATATTTGTTTAGATTCTCACAAATTGACCATAAAATCATGTTGATCCTCCAGGAATCCAACATGTCTTTGCACTTAGGTTGTGTTGTCCTCAACACAATCAACAAACACACACAAATCTGAATATTTCTCACTGTACATTTGTCATGAGTTGCTGCTCTTCTGGTAACCAAGTTAAAACATCCCAAACACAAGCAGCATGAAAACAAGTTAACTCCATTCCTGGTTGATTAAACAGCATACAAAGAGGTTGCCAACCTCTTCTACACAGCAACTATATTACATTTCCAAAACACTAGGATGCTGTGTGAAACACTTCTTATTGCAAAACAAAAATTATAATCAAATATGGCTCAAAACTGAAGCCTTGATTTGACCCAATGGCAGCGCAGTGTTTTCAAAGGTGTTTCTGTGGCATTTAAATAAAAAAAAATTGGAGTTTGCATATAATTAAAGTTTTATTTTATTTCTATTCACACAGCCTCCATCTGTTTTTCTTTTTGGTAAATGGCATAATAGACAGAAAAAAAGGTGAAAGCTGCCAAAGTTGTGATGGATCAAATGAAATGCAGAAACAAATGCTGTAGCAGAAATCGTGAGCGGTACAAGTGGAATCACTGTAAAAGGTTTAAAAAACAAAAACCCGTGTGGGTGAGAAAGAGAGAGCATTACAAAGTCAAGAGTTCAAAGGGAGAAAGGAACGACAAGTCGTGACGAGCCACAAAAGAGCAAGGAGTGGGAGAAAAGGGTGAAACGTGGTCTCTGAAGGTAGAATTAGCAGAACTACTCTGAGAAAACAGACATGCTACCTGTTTGACATTGTAGCCAGTCTTTGCGCTGGTTTCAATGAACATGACATTCAGTTCCTTAGCTCTCTGCTCGCCCTCCTCCGTGGTGATCTGTCTGCTCCGGTGGAAGCAGAGGGGGGGAGAGATGGACGAATAGAAAGGTATGGGAAGAAACATTGCAAAGAGGACAAGCCATAAGGAGATGGGAAGAAATGGACAAAGGAAGAAGGACAAAGCTTAACATAGAATTTTTGCTTTGGGTGAAAAAGAGGTTAGTTCACAACTTGGACAGAGAAGTAGACAAAAGGGAGAAACTGCTGTGTTGAATAAAGAGCAGGAAATCAACTCCACAGGTAATTCATTGAACACCCATAAAAAAATTAAAAAGTATACTGAAAGAATTCTTGGCTCCACATCCAAAAGGGGACCTTCCTGACCTAAAAGCCATTCTGACCTGTGCTGCACACAGGATCATTAATCTCTGTTACACCTGCTGCTGTTGAACACCAACCTGCTTGACGTTATAGCCAGCCTTGGCACTGGTCTCTATGTACATCACATTGAGCTCACGAGCTTTCCTCTCGGCCGCCTCAACAGAAACTTGCCTGCCACGGTCCCACAGGGAGAAGAAGGCGGGGAACAAAAAAAAAGGGGTGAAGTGTTCAGGAAAACATAAATGTACAAAAAAAAAGAAAGCAAGAAAATCTAAGTGACATGAATTAAAAAAAAAACAGACAAGAAAATAAAAAAGGCAACAATAAAATGGGGGGTAAAACAGAAATATGTTCTAATTATAGAAATAAAAATGTTTTAACCAATAATAAGATGGAAGTATGCAACATAACGATGAATGATAAAAGCCAAAGTTGGGTGAGATGTACTGAAGGGAGAAAACACCGGGACTCCAGGCTTTGGCAAAGTTTATAAACTACGCTAGTGGTGTCCTGGGACTGATACCAGCCTCAAGTACTTGTACTCATAAAAACACAGCGATACTTTGGACCAATAGCACTTAAACATGTCCGTATTTTCAAGACATTGCAAGAGAAAAACAGAAAATGTTAGGACAGCTGACTGTTTGCTTTATTTTTAATAGAATAAACGTGTTTCTAAAGTCTGTGTGTAATGTTCAAGTACTGACTCTTTAACTACTTGGTATCAGTACTCAGTATCTGCAAAGACTTGCACTAAAATACCTGTAGTTGAATTGGAAATAACACAATTAACTACAACACTTGAATGGCTTTAAATGTTGTAACAACATGCCAAAATTATTTTTAGATGTTTTTTAACAGAGTAACCCCCACAAAAAAATCCATTTATTTTCACACAGCCCTTTACCTTTTATCCGCTAAGTCCGTTTTATTTCCAACAAGCATAATGATGACGTCACTCCCTCTCTCTGTTCTAACATCATCAATCCATTTTGATGTTTGCTGGAATGAATTAAGATCTGTAAATGAAAACAAAACAAAAAATGATTGTCAAATCAGTCACTACAGTCAAAAAATACATGATTTTATAAGGTACAATTTAAAAAGTATGTCTTGACTAATTTCATGACAAAGTTCATTATGTAAGCTGGAAGTCGTGTTAGTAAGGCAGAAAATTTCTATAAGGAAGTTTGTAGTAGGAAAATATATGGGGAGAAAGCAATGAGAGACTGCGACGGAACAAAGGGCAAAACTATTTCTTTCCAGTTGTTCCAAGACAGCTGCAGGAAAGTTGTAAGTACAGCCCTGACTCACTGGTGATGTCATAAACAACCACAGCAATGGTAGAGTCACGGATGTAGCTGGGAATTAGGCTACGAAAACGCTCCTGTCCAGCAGTGTCCCAAAGCTGGAGCCGGACCTGAGGATTGGAACGTAGAAGAGGACAAAAAGGGGTAAAAGATAAGGAGGAGACAAGAGAAAGAAATAGAAAGTGGAAAACAAGACAGTTTTAAAAGATCTGCAAGCAAAGCAGCCAAGAAAATAAAACTGCCTTTTATGGAGGAACGGGAGAAAATCATTTAGGTGCAGAAAGCTCAGGCGACGACTGTTATGCGTACAAGACTTGTGAAAAGAAACCCTGCTGAATTATGGTTTAGGCAGTTTCAGAGAAGTGACGCTGATAGATATTTGTCTATCAGCTTCATTCGTGACAGCATTTAGGAAGTACAGAGCCCTTTGGACAGTAGTGCCAGAACAATGCTTTTATCACCACTACAGCTGATGTAAACAGTCCTCCCATGCCGTTTAACAGGGTTTGTTGCACCGCTAAATGCTAGGATTTTTGCCCTTCCATGTAGTAAGCGAAGGACAACAAGGAGAGGCAAGGCCATGATACCTACTGGCTATGTCATAAACCACCACAGCGGCAGCTGAGTCGCGGATGTAACTGGGGATGAGGCTGCGGAAACGTTCTTGTCCGGCTGTGTCCCAGAGCTGCAGCCGAATCTGTGGCCAGCCATGATACAAATGTGGGACCATGGAAAGTGAGCATTTCAAGATCAAGCCAGGGGATGGAAAGGAAAACATAATTTTGACAAATAATGATGGGAACTAAAAAAACTATCACTTTTTTTTTTTATTAAAAATGAATGGCAAATCTAAGACAGTGAAAAACCACAATGTGAAATGATGAGAGGAAATTAATTGGTGACTACACAAAAAGCAGATGCGTGCCTTTCTAGCAGTTTCATAACTTGACTTAAAGAAATGATGAATAGATGCTAAAAAAAATATGGGGCTTACCGTGCGATCTTCTAGGTACATGGTTTTTGACAAGAAGTCGATACCAATTGTTGCCTGTGAGAAAAAAAAAACATTTTATATGTGCTTGTTTTTTCTACAGCATATGATTTTGTATAGGATCAAACTGGACCAAATCATGCGTTAAAAACATACTTTTTGGATCTGACAGCAGGGGAAGTGAAATCTTTCTCCACGTGTTAAGTGATTCATTATAAATAACTTAAAACATTTTTACATTTTAACTTGGCTTATCTAGATACAGTTTTTATATTAAAACATACTGAGCTAGAGGTCTGAACAATGCCTAAAATAATTAATTACAGTTTAAACATGTTACAAATTTCACCTGCATTAAAAAGCAGTGGGCATGTTATATCCGAACACCCATAAACACTTAGGAGATATAGTTTTTCTTTATAATAATTGTATTTTTACCTGGTAAGTGTTGTCAAAACTGTCATACATAAACCTGGTAATGAGTGAGGTCTTCCCAACTGTATGAAAAAAAAAAACACAGCACCACATTAGTAACATTATATTCCATTAAGACCATTAACTGCAGTCAAATTAAATACCGATATCTCCACTGATAATCAGTATAGTCAGGAAAAAGCTAATCTCAGTGACATCATGGGGAGTATACTAATATGATGCAGTGTACAGCTGAACCCACACGCTGAGTTGGCAATAAGGGTGGAGCCACGAAATTTTTAGAAAATTTAAAATGACTGCATTGTTGTAGCCCCATTTCATCCGTGATACGAGTCTTCTACGATAAAACCCACACACGTTATTTAGACACAGCCTAAATTGACAATCAATGTTCACCGGTCTGAAGATGATGACTTTAGGCCAACTAGTCAGGACTCAGTAGCCGACGTGGCTCTCAATGATGCTACTAGCTAACAGGCTACGTGCTAACATGGCAGCTCAAGAAAGTAAAGTTACCTTCCCCAGACGTCCATACAGCCTTCTCACATGAAACATATAACTCGTTAAAATATTACCGGTCACATAAATGCTCATACGTACACAGTTTATGTAAATATTCGGTAACATTTCGTAGCACAGGTAGCTAATTGATAGTTACAAGTAATGCACAAGCTCATAGGGCTGAAAAGCCTCAATAACAGTTTTCAATGCTTCATATTGGCAGCTAATCAACCAGCTATGTCATTAACAACTGGCACAAGTGAAATGTACAAAAATCTGGGTAATTATTATCGGAATGAACGGGTGTTTGGCTAGCTTAGCTAGCAGCAGGTAGCTAACTTAACGGTGGCTACAATCAATGACATCATCGTCAACATAGAAACAATAAATAGTCAGATAGTCTTCATCGGACATTTCTCTCTCAGACACGTTTATTTCAACACTGGGACACTAATATCTTACCGAATATCACTGCTAGCCACTGACATCCACTAAAGAATTTAACCCTAGCTAAGTGGATGCGAGCTAACACGGGAAGCTAAGGCTAATCTCGACACTTTCCTAAATCGGACAATATTTTAAAAAAAATGTTTAAAGATAATTCGAGACTATCTTACCACTCTGTTCACCCAGAAAAACGAGCTTGAACTTTCTTAAAGGGTTGCCAAACTCTACACCGCCGGTCGTGGTTGACATTTTGTGTAAAAATGCAGAGCTAAAGCAGCAGACTCCCAGCTAATGTGATGTCTAGACCGGAGAAAACCGAGTCTCTGTAGCCTAATGACGCTGAAGTTCGTCTGTGCTTTGACTGTTGGCCAAAGGACAATTTCACTGCTGATCTGCGTCTACACATCTTGACTTTCAAAATGCTTATTCTGTTAGTTTAAAAACATATGGGCTATTTCAATGCATTTATTTTCTATAACTTTGTGGTTGTTGATCTGGCTAAAATATAGTGAAACAGCCCAATTTAAAAAAAATCACAAACAAAATATTATATCGTAAACCTTGTTTACAATAAACCACATTTAGTGAAGTATAATTCATCTAGTTTTGAATCAGTACTACTCAGGTAGTCCAGTTAAAAAAATAAAAAGTTAAGCAGCCCTTTACTAAACTTTGAAAACGGAACCCAACTTCACCGTCGGTTCAGCCTTTGCAAGTCAGCGCTTTTGTTTTCTTACTTAACTGCAGAGAAATAGCGCAACCAAGGGGAACAACTAAGTTATATTCCTTTACTGTAACGTTCACAGCACGAAGAATGTACATTTTACTCAAGCAAATTCATCATTGGGGGGATTAGGCATCTAAATGTCTGGTTTTATTTTCCTTTTGAAAAACTTTTCTTATTTAACATTCAGTAAATGAGGACAAGATGATCTGTGGGGGGTTTTATTTTCAAGATATTCATCCAACACAAGTAAGTTCATTCATCTTTTCCTCAACACTCCAAAGACACAACAATCAAGATTAAAGATAAAAGAAAATCAAAAATTTTAAAACACTTTGCACAAAGAATATTCTATACTATAAACCATTTATTTTGACAAATATGCATATTTAGATATTTCTATGACAGAGCTCACAATTTACAATAAAAAACTATACACAGGGGAATGAAGAACATATAAGTGTTTGACTTTGTGTGTGTTCTTTCTTGGTGTTGAGTTCCTTTGTATTCTTTGCCAAACGGGTGGTACTTTTCTCATCACTCAATGGGGTCAAATATGACATCTGTCCTGTAAAACAAAAGGGCAGACAAATTTCACACCAGGGAAATACAGGCTGTCCACTTACAACTGCCTGACTGTTGGCTTCAACTTGAATCAAAATGGTCATTACAACTTATTAACATAAAAATACAAAAATATGTATAGCTAAGTGAATTTGACAGATATTGAGCTAAAATTTGTTGTGGTAGTACGTCCTCAGTCTGACTTGACCTCATCTGAACTAAAGAGTCTTTTAATGCAACTGATCAAACACACGATTATCAAAGAGAAATGTAACATTATTTCACCGTGATCACTAGCAAGTTTTTGTACTTACACTTCTGCTCATTGTTCACCAATGGTGCGCAGCAGATAAACAAATAGTGGAAAATTATTGGATCAGTCAAATAAAATGTATTAAACTCATATATTTACTCAATAAAAATACATCTGAGGAAACACTTTCATGGTGATGTTTTGCCGATATTCTTACTAACCTGCAGGTTTTGGGCACATCAAAGTCAACGGCAGCTCCACTGCAGCATCGCTGAGATGGGAAGATTTTATTGTTAAAAATGTTTTTGAAACATAATTCATGTCTTGTTAACGAAATTAAAACATGACAAGAGAAAATCAGTTATATTTACCTTCCTGTTAGACCACCCAAAAGGCTGAGGGAACAAAAGAAAAAAATATTAATGATGAGACAAGCTGAGGAATGATTGCACATTTTGTTTTCAATACATATTTCATTTTGGGCACAACTTTACCCTCCACTAGACGTCGACACGTTAACCTTCACTTTGTAGGAGACAATGATTCCCAGCATCTCCTTATCTCCTTGACTCCTGCGAGGAGATGAGAATAGTTTATCTGTCAGAGCTGAAGATTTATCTAAGTGGATGACACAACATTTATAGCTGCAGGAATGCCTCTCACTAAGAGGACGAAAACCTGTCCTGGTTGCATTGTAAGCTCTTTGGTTCAAGAGAAAGTAGGTTGTCTTACAGGGTGGTGGATGCCAAGTTGGTGTCCTCGTCTTTTAGTCGTCCATCTATAGCGATGCCTCGCTTGTCTTTGTTGCTGGCCAGTAGGGGAGTTACCTGGAAGGACTTCTCAAATGTAGAGTTTGCACCCACAGTCTCGCTGAGCGTTGAAGGGAAAAGAAATGAAAAATAATACACAATTAACCATTATTTATGGTAATTTACTCCAGTAATACATACTTTAGTTTAAAAGTTGAGTGTAGCACTTTGATGATGAATATTAAATATAGATACAGGGGCATGTAAAAGATTTGTTTATAGGTTGGAAAATCAGTTATTTAGTTAAAAAGGAAGAAAGTGTAACCTGGTCAGCCATTTTTATTTGATATAGCAAGAAACTTACTCAAACTCCTCAACGCAAACGTCCCTGGTGTATGTGTCAGATGAGTAGAGGACAACATTTGCTAGCTGAACAACTAAAAACACATAAAAAAGTTAATTTTGGTTCCTATATCAATATATATATCCACATCTTCTTTTTCATTTCTTTTAACATTACTATCTACAGCAGGTAAGATGATAACTGTTCATGACCTTTCCACATAACCCCAAGCAAAATAAATGAACTATCTCTTTAGTTTTATCTTGTTCCTTACCAGAAATTTTGATTTTCTTTATTATTTTTGCAGTTTCATTGTTGACTTTCACAATGACCTTGATTGGGTCTCCATGATAGTAAATCTAAAAAAAAAAAGCATTGATCTGTTTTGGTAATTCAGCACCATCATGCCATTTTCGGAGTGCACTGATGAAAAGGTTTCACCGAGCCAGACGTACCTCTTTCTCAAGAGAGGCCTCCACGGAAATTGGTTTGTCGCTCATCATGAACTGCTTCGATATCTCAGCTTTAGGTCCGGCTTTGTTAGCCGGTGCAAATTGTATCTTACGAATTATCAGACGGCACGTGTCCCTGCAAGCAAAACAAACAGCCAACCTCTGCATTTATCTGATTTGGCTGAAGATGCCACACATGATTGTCAGTTTTCAAATTAAAGTTTGATTCTGTCCAGACCTACTTTTTGTTGATAGCTTCATCTGGATTGTGAGGTTCGTTGGCAATAAATGCTTTAACTTCAAAATCCACTCCACAAGCCTGCAACAGGAAATTATGTATACAGTATATAGGTGCTGTATAGGAAGTTAAAGGGTTCTGTAATGATACCTTTCCACGATCATTTGGTCCAGGCTGTAAGGAGACTGAGCATGGGAGATTTGTTGGCATCTGAAACATGTCAAAATAAAACCAGCTGATATTATAATCAGTCCTTAATTACACTGAAACTAGACTGAAAAGCAGAATTTAGTTGGTTTTATCAAAAACAAACAAACACAAAAGATAGTCCTACCTGGAAGGAGAAGGGACATCCCTGCTCGCCAACTTTTTTCAGGAGGGATTCCTGCATTGGCGTTTTCGTCACACTCCCATTTGTGGCGGGATAAATCTGAATGTGTTTGATCCAAATGTCTCTCCTGAAGGACAGACCGATGACGTCCAGGTCGTCACTTCCATAACGGAAGGCACAAGCGAGGTAGACAAATACTGCAGTGGAAAATGTTGTTTTATTACTCCACAACGGCTGAATTATCACTGACAATATGTGAACAAAACAAAAGTACCTTTTCTGCCATTAAGACCAGAAGGATCCACTTTAACTATCCCATCTATTAAAAGAAAAATCACTCAGATTTATTGAAGTTTACAAAGCTCACATAAATATAAAGGATTACAATCAACCCACCGACTATGTCCACAGCATCAACATGGTCTACATAGTCTCTCCTCCCCAAGTACAGGGCAATCTAAAGGAAATGAAAGAAAACTGTTACGCCCCTAAACAAACATCTAATAACTTTGGAAGTTATATCTGGATGAGGGGAGATAAAACTGTATTTCCTGTGTAAAATAGAAATGACTTACAGTTCCATTCCCACTGGTCTTCTTAAAAACTCTGCACAGAAAGACAGGAGGAAAAAAAACAGACATTTATCAGAACTGTTCAATCCCTGAGCTTTATTGCGCATTCTGTAAACAAAACCGTAATCCCTGGCTGTGTTTGCTTCTTTCATGTGGCGGCAGAGTAATCCTGTTTAAGCCTTCGATTTGTCTTGTAAATCTCTTTTCCAAGATTAAATCCACATAATCCAGCCTAATAAGGGGTTTTTCAGTATGCCTTACAAATGTGTGTAAACGAATGAAGGTTTTACGAGAGCCGTAATGGAAACATTTCATTTAACTTGTTTCTAGGTCATTTTTTAACCTTGTTATATTAGCTGGGTTTTTTTTTTTACGTCAGCTGACAAATAAAACAAAGAGTAAAAATAATAATAATAATTGATTTAAAAGACATTTAATTGAAACATGCAAGAAGATAATTAATCTTGAGGGGTTGTTTAATTTAAAGCAGCACTCTTGCAGTGGTGAGGAATGAATTAAAACAAGTTTAATTCATTTCTTTTTGTTCTTGTTTCAGACAGCTGAAATGAATAATTTATGAATGCATATGTTACAAATCAGCTCTTACTGAAGAATTTTTCATTAGTTTAATAAAAAATGTGACTTACTTTGACATAATGACAGCAGTTTTGGAGACAGTCTGAAAAAAAGGTTTAATTGTTAATATGTGGCCTCCTGAAAATATTTTTGTTTAGTTGCATAGGTCAGGTATCTCTTCTATTAAACAGAAAACCATCTTGATACTGTTCATTACTGACAAGTTACTAATAAATCAGCATAATTTCTTGTTTCTAGAAGTGATTAGACAAACATTCCTTTAGAGTAACAACAACTAAACTAAACTAAATACTGATTCTCTGCTCTGCAGTAGCAACTGTATTATAATGTTTAATTCTTGATGTCCCGTTCACTCACCACCGAGCTTTGAGTTCCTCAGTTCTCTCTGCCGTCTTTTCTAATCTGTCGCTGCTGATGGAGAGCGAGTACCGGTCACCGCCTTCTGCTATAGCTTTTATACAGTGACCCCCCCGCCAGCTTCAGAGCCCTCCTCTCAGTTTATACATAGCCTGGACGGTGGCTGTTTTGGGCTCCAGCGTGGTTAAAAATAATGTTTTGTTTGCATCTTTACAAGAATAATCTCAGAGCTAAACTTAGTTTTAGATTAGGGATTAACTGATGCCTGGGTTCTGTTCCAAAACTTTGGCGATTGTTGTATTTGTGTGATCTTATTGTTTTTATTATCATTGTTTGTTTTCATCTAGAAAATTACGAATTGAACTTGTACCAGGAAGACTGTGAACCACAGAATATTTGTGGCCCAAACTGGTTTACATCAGAAACCTGCATTTTCAACAGCTGTGACCTTATTGTGAAGGAAAAACAGGCAGACAGACAAAAAGGCACAAACTTGGAAACAGTTCTTGTTGCCTCCAGGATGATGTTTTTACTGATTAATTGTGGACTTTAAAAATGGTGCAGCTACAAATACTTTTCACATCTCTGTTCTTGTATTTTTTATACAAAGAGAAGGAACAGTGCTCAACGATGATAATCATGATAATTATCCATATTTTTAACATAATCCTAATTTCCAAATTAAGTTGAAAAACATGGCTCAATTGTATAAAAACTTGACATTTTTTGGTCTACAGATGTAAAATATTTTGTGAAATATTGACTCAAGTAGTTAAAGTATACGAAACATTCATGAGCCTCACTCACTTGAAAGAATTACCAAGATTTGGACGTATTAATAGATTAAGTTAGCAGATTATCTTGTGATTAACTTGCAGGATTTCTTTTCTCATAGCTTAGACTGGCGTATTAGCTGGATTTGAGTTGTTGTGGAACAGCAGAACAGCAGATGTCTCCCCTATCAGTCTGGATTTACGGACGATTTGCAGAAATCCAAGTAACCTGTTGACCTGTTTTTGTCCAAGTAACCAGGATTTACAGCTAGCATCAGTGCTAATACAAGTCTGGTGTTAAGAGTTTAAAGACGTTCAGTTGATCTCTGATGTTTCCTGCATGTTATATTTTAAACAAATCATGCCTGTATTTGTTAAACACAGTGGAACAAATTTCTGAAAGTAAGAACAGAATATTATAGGAGAGACGGTAAATTGTTTGAACAGAGAATGAACTTTACAGCTCGTTTCTTTTTTAGATGTGCTTTAATCACGCAGAGCTTAAATGAAAATCAGTTTATCTTTTTTATAAGAAGGATGAAAAATGAAGTGAAACCGTAGACAAATAGACTCTACTTCTTTTTCTGAATCTGCCATTCATCTCATAGGTTCTCACGATCTGACCATTATGAGTAATGATTTGAGTTCTGGGAATGGGTTGGGCAGTGTTTCTCTTTGTGTGGGACTGTGCTGTGTTTTTTCCCCTCATTTAGAAGAAGCAAACCCCACAAACAAGATAAAGCAACAAAGGAAATCTTTCACGTTTTGTTTAAATTTAACTCAGCAGTTCAATTCTGTTCAATCAACCTCATTTATCAGCGAAACTCCAGTATCTGAACAGACTCACTACAAGATAATCCATGCTGTAAAATCCCATCTTTTTCCTTAGCCACTAGTAGCTGATTGATTAATGAGACGGGGGTGATTGGTACTTTGAATGGATCTTCACACCTCGACAGTTACAGTTAATGAATCTGGTGTGAGATTGGGCTGTCCTCACTTTAAGTGTCACATCGGGACAAAGTTTGTGATCTCTTTAAAGCTGCAGCCCTGGTGTGTGTATCGCTGCCGGATCATCAATCAGGAGAGTAATCTGTCTGGGTTAAGGTTCTCCTGCTTGATCAGCATCAGTCTTCCTCTGAGTAAACCCCACAGAGTGGCAGTAGAAAGGTTTTCTGTCAGTGGCATCCTTTTAAAAAGGTCGAAATTTGAATAACTCAGTCCAACTACCTCCATGTCCTCACTCTAACTGCATCCATATGTCTCCTATTTGTCTTTTCCCCACTGTCCCTCCTCTAGACATGACCAAACCGTCTCAGTCTGGTGTTCAACCCGTGCTGTACCTGACTTCCTAATCTTATCCATCCTTGTCACTCCCAAGGAGAACCTTGATTTCTTCAGCTCTGCCACTTCCAGCTCTGTCTCATGTCTTTTTGTCCATGTCTCCAAAGCAGACTGGTCTCGCCACTCTCATAAAGCTTATCTTTGACCCTTGCTGCCACCTTTTTGTCACAAATCACTCCTGAAAACCGTTCCCCATCCACGCCATCCTGCTTGAACTCTGTTCTTTTTCTCGTTACCACATGCTTTTATGGACAGTCAGCCAGTCCTTTATTTCAGTACTCTCTTTGGTAAATAAATGATAACAAACCAAGAATCATTGATAGGCAGGCTTTTGACTGCTCCTTTTCACAAAAAAGATATAGTAATAAATAAATAAATCCAAGTCCAGTTTTCTTGTTACTAGTAAAACCGACTGCATGTTCAAAAGGATCCAGGGGTAATCCAGGTCTCCTCGTGACAAACTGTCTAGTACAAGTTTTTGTTTGACCACTTCCCAATGCAGAACAACAAAGACCAACGTAAGCCCCTTAGGGTTAAGCTGGTGCCGTTTTAGGCAGGTGCTTTATGTAAACCGCCAGGATTTTCTCTTGATGGGACTTCTCTTTGTGCATTAGGGCTTTATGTCCTTACACCTCCTCTTAATGGCACAACATATTGCTAAATCGAGACTGGGCAGACAACTGACATCGAGCTACTTGCCGCAGCATTTACCGTCAAAATGAAATCAGTGTAAGCATGAAATTTCTTGGTGTATTTGTACTTTAATATGGAATGTTAAGTTTAAATCCATTGAAACAGACACTTCAGTATGACCTTAATGAACTCAGTAGTTAACACCACCTTTGTTCTGCAAATTCCCCTCAGAAGATTTAGTTTTAGCTGAGTTTTCGCCACTATAGGCTACTCTTTTTCAAAAGAACTGGTAACTGTTGAATATTACTGCCATTAAATAAAATGACAGCTATTAAAGAGCAGTTCAGATCTTTAGAGATGGGTTTCTAAATAGCTCTTTAAACAGCCTCGGTTAAGGGAAACAGCTGAATTCTGACCAGATTGACAAGAACAGACAGATATCTTAGCAGATTGCTGTCATCCTAAAACTTCAGTGTCAAATATTCCATAATAGCTCACAAGAACATAATTTTAAAAACTTTTATATTGTCAATAATGTTTGAGTTGTGTACTAAATCTGGCAGGAATATAATATTCTGACAGACAGTGACCCAGACCACACTGGAAGTGTTTCAGCTGTAGTTCTAACTAAATACAAATGCATGGATATTTGTTTCTTGTAAATATTCTTACAATTTTATGTTCATATAATTGACGGCAATATAAAGGTTAAATAGTGTTAGGGTGAACCATTATGAGACTTTTAAGACTGAAGCTGTTTTAAGTTAGCAGCGATCCTCTGGTCTTCATCACTGTTAAAAGTTTCACCCTTGTTTAGTTATCCGCACTTATTACTTCTCTTTAACACAAAGAGCTCTGACAAGTTTTGGATTTTTAACTCAACTTGATGAGTCTTAAAATATAAAACTTATAGTTATCCATTGTGTTAACTATTTGAGAAATTTGTCAGATTTGTAAGTGTTGACTGAACTTTAGTTTATAAGTCACCAGTTGAAAAAAAAGGAGAGGGAAAAGTTGGGAAAGTAAAAATTAAAGTTATTCAATGCGTTGACTATTTGGGAATTTGTGTGATTTGATTGAACTTGGGTTTGAAAGTCATCAGTTTTAAGAATAACACCATGCAGTGTTGAAAGCAGTATTCAGAAAAGTCCTGCCCTCTTCCACCTCATGTCAGACAGACCAGTATTTACCCAGCATTCCTTGCTGAGAAATCATACAGAAATGATGTGTTTGCATGTTTATGACCATTAAAGACGTTCATGAGAGCAAAAATGAGTTGTTCTGGTTAGTTTTCTTGTTCAGTTTTATCAAGTTGTTCAACTTTAAGTTTATGTTATCGGCCAAAAATCGATACCACGAGTGAGAGGTGTGTCCTGATGTGTGAAGGGTGACTCCATTAAACTTTTCCATCAAATTCTGATCAGCGTTAATGCAACACTACAAAGAGTTTAATATTAATTCTGAGTGTTAAATTTACTCTCAAATATATGGTGTATTGACACCTTGTGGTATAAAACTTTCTTAACACCATCTATCATGTAAGTTGAAACAAATTTGAAATTTAAATTGTCTTAACTTAAAATATGAAGTCACATTGTTTTAACTCAAAGTAGTGAGTTACTTAAACACAGAAATGTGTTTGTTCAACTATCTAAGGAAAGTTTATCATGTTGATGATGTTTAAAGGCACAGTGTGTAGGATTTGCTGTTTTCAGCGACATCTAGTGGTTGAGTGGTTGAGTCATCCTCCCTGGTCCTCCCCCCACCCCCACCCCCCTCTTCCAAACACAAAGGAGTTCCTACGGTGTCTCTCAGGTGTCAAAAACCTTTGWTAATTCCAACCRCGATGTCTACCAGCAGCTTCAGGGCTAGTGATGTTTCAAGTGGTAAGATTATGAGCTTTAATAAGTAAAATTATCCCAGCTACAATGACAGACAACAAATATTACATTTATAGTATTACAACTGAAACCGTTTTTGATGCCACCACCGCAGTTTGTCCTTCATGAGCCTTCGTAGACAAGATGGCGGTTGCCTGTGTGGTGACCCGCGACCATGGAGATATAAACAGCTTTTCATAAGGTCAAAATAATAAAACAAGGTCTTTGTCTGCAATGATTAGACATGTTTTTTTATTATTGTCATTAGTGATTATCTCAATTTCAGCTAAAAGAATTGACAAAATTCTACACACTGTGCCTTTAATTTTTAATTGTTTCAACTCAGTCTTAAGTTAAAACAACAGTCAAATCAACTTTGACAGCTTAAAAAACTATTTTGACACAACAAAAACAATGTAGTGCAATCAACTTTTTAACTTTCGACTTCTGAGTTGAAACAACGATATTCCTCAAGTTGAGTTAACATGCGTTTTTAAGGCAGTGGACTTTCATTTGCAAGTTTAACTGACTTGAAACTTCTTACAGTGATCCATCTCTGACTAGCTGTTTGCTCATCAACTGATGTGCAGCAAATTATTTTTTCCCAAGTTTAAAGACCTGTGGAAAAAAACTCACTTGGGCTGCCTGTATCTGTGATCTTGTTCTTTCGGTCACTATCCAAAGTTCATCGTCATATGTTCATAACCTTTCTCCAAAACCTCCTTTAAGACATGTAAACCACTGAAATAGAGACAGGGTGGACAGTCTTATTGACCCTGTTAGACATTTTTCACATGATACAAAAGCGTGTACTGTGTGAGCAAAAGATAATTTGCTAAATCCTAATTATCACCGTTGTCATTTCTGCAGAACAGCCATGTAGCAGGAGTAAAATTAAAATTCAACCTCTCAGTCAAATGATGCACACGGCCCCTAACAAACTGAAGTCATCACAGACAGGGTTAGGAAGAGGCATCATCAGATTGGGATGGTCTTGCGTTTATTTGTTTTATGGCGTCTGTGGTTGGTGGTGGGCAAATTTCTGCTGAGTCGTGAGAGGCAGAGCAGTAAATGTGGGCCCGAGCAGCTTTCCACATGATTTTATGCTCTGCTAATGGAGTAGGAGGGGACGTAGGAGGGCTGAACGAGGAGGACAAAAATAAGAAAGTTAGGGATGATCATAACCATATGGAGAGGATGTTTTGCTGAGAGGGAAAGACTGAGTAAGAGCAGAAGGGAGCAGAGTGTGACGAACTGAACAAAGCTTCTTGACTTGAAGGGCAGAGTCAACATATATGTCAGCAAAGCCTAAAGTGTCTGAAGATAAAAGTGTTTACTAGTAAGAAGAGGCAGAGGAGTTTCCAAATGTGACTGGACTTGTAAGTGTCGACTGTTTTTCTTCTAGAACTCAGAGGAAAGAGCCAGAGAAGAATGGAGAGGCATGCAGGAAGGAGCAGCAGGCAGGAGACGAGAGGCTGAAAGAGGAAGTTTTTTGCATTTCACGCACTGTTGGTGCCGCTGAGCCCCTCGGACGAATTCTCCTGGCTTGGTTGGTCCCACATCTGGAATGTCGAGTCACTTCCTCTGTCTGCCTGCAGCGGGGTTGTCCTTTGTCTTTCTGCTCCCACCCTCTGCTTCTGACAGCGACCTGAAGAAGCACTGGAGACCACGGATGATTCCCTCCTGATTGGACACAAACTTCCAGACCCCTGGAGTTAACCTACTCAGATCTTCTCTATCTGGACTTGGACTCAAATAGAAACAACTGTAGGCATCTGCTTGAACCTACTGTAGGGTATTCCTATTCCCTTATTAGGCAACAGAGCTGAGAAATCATTTGAATTATGGTCTCTGTTGCATGTCTGTCTGGTTTAAGGTTGACTGACTCCCATCTGGTATGTTGGATGTGAGAGTGGGGCTGCTCGATTTGTTTGTTTCACTCTCTTTGCTTCTCCTTTTCCTGTTGTTCGTGTGTAGGTCTTTTGTTTTGGCACAAGAGGAGGGCTTGTGTTTGTGGTTGAGCTCGAGACAGCGTCACTGCCTCAGGAGGGGCTGCTCCATTCAGAGTCTGCAGAATTTCTCCCTGCCTTCCTCTCTTTCTCCCTCCTCGTCAGCTGTGATGGTCTGTGTTTGTTGGATCCACGCACACACACCTGGGCGCAACAGCTCGCAACCTAAAACAGGAACTGTGCCTCTTTGAAGGAGGGGATGATCTGAATGGTGGGCTGGAGCTTTTGCTGAGGACTGGAGTGGAATAACCTGAGAGTCGGCTGGATTTGACTTCCCTCGGTGCAACAAGAATGGGTGAACCAGAAGGAGCAAGGAAGGACCCAGGAAGTGTTAGCTGATAGGGGTTGACACTTGGGTTGAGACAAAAAGGATCATGGGGAAGTTTTGAATGCTCAAGTAGACCAGTCAGCGCAGACGCTGATGATATGAGAGACAGACCTCCAGAACAATGCCCTCTGTGCTTATGTGACAATAAACTTGGAATCTCTGCAGAGCTCTTAACCTCATGTGGATGTTTCTCCTCAACACACCTCTTGCTATAAAGGACCATGGCTGCTGCATCATGGTATCATCGTGACATCAGCCGTGTGTGTGCAGAGGACTTGTTGGCACGAGCAGGGAGGGATGGCAGCTACCTGGTAAGAGACAGTGAGTCTGTGCCTGGAGCCTATGCATTGTGCCTGCTGTGAGTATGCACACACACACACACACACACACACACACACACACACACACACACACACACACACACACACACACACACACA